TGTTCTGTGCCACAAGATTCTCCCTAAGTTCTACAGTTTAAGAGTGTATATGAGTTACGCCCCATACTTTTACACTCTTGTTAAACTCAATAGATTATGAATTTATTTGAATTAAGTTAGTACTACAACATTCTCGTTAAACACAATCTACTCCCACTCTAGTAAATGCATGAACAAACACACATAAATTCCTCTCGAACTTCCTTCCACTTTTCAATCACTTTTACTTTGATTACCACATTATTCACAATAGTGTTACCAAACTTTTATTCATATCCTCGGGTTAATTACGCCTCTTACTTTAATTCAGAATAATTTATTAATCATAAAAATCACACATACATAGAATTATTATGAAACTTTACCGCAAGGTAGATTTTTGAATTAGTTTTCTAACGCAACTGACCGTAGCTAATGCTACGAGTCATAACAAGGAAAAATACACTCTTCCATATAGAAAATAGAAACAACTACTGTCTAACAGTAGATAATGCTACACGACGTAGCGAAAATTCATAATCCATGTGTTTCCTTCATTTTCCTGCATCAACAATTTCTCATCCAAATTCAAGGCCTCACTTTCGATCCAAACTCTCTTTCAACACTCTAGGTATGATAATGGCTCTACTAACTCATCAAAAAGTGGTACATGGATTAATTTAACAATAAAAACCTAGGATTTCTAACAAGCATTTAACATAAAGAAGCAATTAAAGACATTCAAATACAAGAATCGGGCATGAAACAATTAAATTATCCAAACTAAAGTATCACATTCCCACATGCAAAACCCTTAATTAATCTACCTCAAGATCAAACTTAAGAACCCCACATCTAACTATAACCTGTCAAATTTGAGAAAAATTCCCATAAGGAAATAAAGTAGAAACTGGGGTATAATGTAAACCCACTACCCTAAACATTAAACTAACCCAATTATACAACAATCTTCCCCCTTTTATCGCATGTTTGCAGAAATTCTCCGTAAAGATCCTAACAACAACAACAATAATAATAACAATAACAACAGTTGTTTCTTACGCTAGCTATTGTAAATATTTTGTTGAACTATGGAGTGATAGAGTTTTATGAGATCGTGTAACTTATACTTTTCTCTTCCTATCTATGTCTCTTCCTTTTCTCTTTTTTTTTCTTCACATTTCTCTCTTTCTTTTCTATATCATATTTTGATTTCTTTATAACCTTCACTAACCTTGTCTCCTCAACTCCCTTCCCCATTATCTTTACTTTATTTCTAATTTATTAAAATAAATTTAATTAATCATATAAGTTCTAATTAATTAATTAATAATATTATAGTTTTTCATTTAAATAATAATAATAAATTATAAAAATCCACTAATAATAATAATAATAAAGCAAAATTATAGTTTTGATCCTCCTATTTTACTTTGTTCACGGAATCAATCCTCCTATTTTATTTTTAAACAATTTTAGTCTCTCGCCTCATAACTTTTTTTTATAGTTTCTAGGTTTTTCGTCCAGAACCTCACTTGCAGAGACTAAGGCATAACTATGAGATCTTCATAAACAAGTCTCGGAGGTGGCTTGATAACTTTTCTCGACCTGTCTCTTGCCAACAGGTAGTCATTATCAGTCTACTCATCTTCGACAATATCTTCATCTTCTTCTTCGACTTCATCTGGGTTATGCAATTCAACATCACTATGCTCCACCTCAATGGGGACCTCTTCCTGTTCTAGCTCTTCTTTATAGATCTTGGTACTTCGACCAACGCCATCAGTTTTCTTGAACTCCATCTCAGCTTTATTGAAAACTACACGTCGACATGTGATACACCTTATGTGACCTAGATCTAGGCACCACAACCTATAAGTTTTAAGTTCTTTAGGGTATCCAAGTAACTTACATTTCAGAGCTCTAGTTTCGACATTGTCTTGCTTAATATAAACATAGGCTAAACAACCAAATACTCTAAGTCTGTTGAGACTAGGTGAATGTACTGACCAGACTTCTTCAGGTGTCTTCATTTTCAAGGTTGTCGAGGGACACCTAAATATCAAGTATGTTGTAGTCACAATAACTTCTGCCCAAAAACACCTTCTTCAATCCTGCACTTATCAATATACACCTCACCATTTCTAAAATGGTTCAATTAAACCTTTCATCCAAACCATTTTGTCTGGGAGTAGCTGTTGTAGTTTTGTGCCTTGCAATATCAGACACAATAATATAGTTGTCGAATGCCTCATTGCAAATTCAAGACCATTGTAGGTTCTTAACCTTTTAACCTTCCTGCCAGTTTGATTTTCGACCAGAGTCTTCCAACTTTTTAAATTTTCAAAAGTTTCATCCTTAGTATTTTGGATAAATACCTATAACTTTCTAGAATAATCATCAACTATAGATAGGAAATAATTTTCACCTGAGTGTGAAGGATTCCTTGCAGGTCTCCAAAGATCAACATAAATGTAATCCATGGATCCATTTGTACTTTGTTTACCTTTGTTTAATTTCATTCTGCATGATTTAACAAATACACAAGGTTCACAAAACTTCAGTTTTTCGACCTTGTCACCATATAAAATATTTTGTTTCAACAATTCGACCAGACCTCTTTCACTGGCATGCCTGTCTCTTATGCCATAGGTCAGTCTTCGACACATGTTTCATAGATGCCACATCTGCTCAACCACTTACAACGTCAGCCTCAAGGGTATACAAGCCTTGTTTCTTCACGCCTCTCAAGTCTTCCTTTGACCCCTTCATTACCCTTAGAATACTTTTCTCTCCTTTAAAAACATATCCTTTCTTGTCGAATTCACCAAGAGAAATCAAAATCTTATTAATATCAGGTACATACCTAACATAAACCAACAATCTTATAGGCTCATCATGGAGTTTGAATCTTACAGATCCAATAACTGCAATTTTGCAAGCTTTGTTGTTTCCCAGAAGCACTGATCCACCATTTTCATCACACAATTTTTCAAACACGTATTTTATTGGAGTCATGTGCCAAGTACACCCTGAATCCATAATCCACTGCTTGCTAGAGTCGTTGCTTGACACCACCAGGACATCAAATAATTCATAACCATCTTGCACAATGATTGTATTACCATTATCCTTTCCACCGTTATTGTTCAGTCGATCAGGGCATACTTTTCTTATATGACCCTCCTTCTTACAATGATAACACTTAATAGTATGAGCATTACAACCATAAGAAATATGTAGAAGTATACCATTCTTCTTCTCAAACCTACCATCTTTCTTTAAGAATTTTTCCTTAATGGATAAACCTTCACCGACTGTTAATGGCTTGTGCTCCTTTCATTCGTCCAAATTCTTAGAGTACAAGGCATATTGAAAATATTCAAAGGTCAATAAATCTCTTCCATACAAGGGATTTTCTTTGAAATGAGCATGGGACTTAGGTAAAGAACATAACAACAACAACGATTGCTCTTCATCATCAATCTTGACCTCGATATTCTTAAGATCAAGAATCAGTTTGTTGAAGATATTCAGCTGCTCGACCAAAGCTTTGTCTTCACTCGTCTTGAATGAATACAAAGCTAGCTTCAAGTAGAGACGATACACTAGCTGTAGGTTTCTCCTTTGAAACTTGCCGGAGAACCTTATCACCAAGGCTCAATACAATAGAATTGTTGGTTTTTTCGACCATCATTGTCTTCTCTGTTAGAGTAGCATCCATCTTCTATGATCCTTTCAACGCTTTTAACAAACCCTGTTGAACTAGTAGGGCTTGCATCTTCAAACTCCACAAACAGAAATCATTCACACCGATGAATTTTTCAATCTCATACTTTGCTTACGACACCTTTTTCTCAACGCTCACCACACCAGTTTGTTGTGAAATGATGTCTTCAATAACAAAACAAAGTTAGATTTTACGAAAAAAAGAGAGAAGAATGAATAAAAAGAATAATAATTGATTAAAATTATTTTACTATTCACTTTCTCAATAAAAATTCAAAGATTACAAGTGAATATCAACAATTAACTTCTATCAACAACTAGAGAGAACTATTTTTATAAACTAAAAAGTAATTTTATTATTTATTTTAAAAATATGATAATTTAAATTTTATTAAAATTAAAATTACATAAATGTTTGAAAATATACATCTTAAACATAATCTTATAAAAAGCTTTTTAAAGCAGTTTTGAATTTAACTTATTTTAAAAAAATTTAATTTCTATAAGAAATCATAACAAAAAGATAAAATAGTTAAAATAAAATTTTATTTCAAATATTAATATAGAAAATTTTATTCTTATTTTAAAAAAATTACAAAACTTATAATCCTATAAAAACCATTAAAAAAAGTAAAAAGTAGTGTCTCCCACGGTTGTCAAGATCGCGATCCAGATCGTGGAATCGCACGATATTGCGATCTCAATCACCTCCACCGATCTGAATCGCAAGCAAGATCGTTTTCATGCGGCGACGCTTTGCAAATTTTGCTACCGGAGTACTGTACACAGTCAGAGTAATGTTTATCTTCTTTGTGCTCTTAAATTTTAATAATAATATAATATTATACTTATCTCATATTACACAAAAGTAGCTGTACTTCATAAAATTGAAACGCTGCTAATGTTATCTTTTCATAACTTGTGCTAACAAGACAAATAGGATTTATATTTCTTTATACTTATTATTAATTTTAATTAATTTTATTTATATAATATAAGATGCTACAAGTAGTTGTACTTCATACAATATAAAATTACACTTTTTAATATAATATATTCATTATTTTGTTTTATTACTGACAATAATTACATTTCATATATATAATATAATCATATAATTAAAACAAAATTTGAAACGATGTTAACAACACAAGATAACAAATATAATATTTAAATAATTAATAGTTCGGCTCACTGTTCGATGCATTTATTTAAAAACATTATCTTCATCTATCTTAGTACAAGAGAGCAGAAAATAGCCATAGCAATCAATTATAGTGTTATCATCTAAAATGGAAAAAAGGGTTGCAATTATTGGAGCAGGAATCAGTGGATTACTTGCTTGCAAATATGTTGTACAGATTGGTTATAATCCAGTTGTGTTTGAAGCTAATGATGGCATTGGAGGAGTATGGTGGCGTACTATTCAATCTACCAAACTTCAAAACCCTAAAGAAGCTTACCAGTTTTCAGATTTTCCTTGGGATTCTTCTGTGAAACAAGAATGTCCTAGTAGTCAGCAAGTGCTGGATTATCTTGACTCCTATGCTCAACATTTTTCCATTGTTCCTTATATTAGATTCAATTCTAAAGTCATTGATATTGATTATGTTGGTGAGTCTGATGAAGAAATGAAGTCATGGGAATTATGGAATGGTGATGGAACTCCTTTTGGATCCAAGGGAACATGGCATATTACTGTGCAAGATGCTAAGAGTTTATCAACAGAGGTATGTATATAATGATTGTAGATTTTGTATAGCTTTCATATATTTTTTTATTATTTATTCATATTTTCTTTCTTTTTAGCCAGATAATATGTTGGAAAAAAAACAGAACTATCAAAAAATAAATCTAAGAAATATTACCGATAAATAAAGTGTGTATTTAGAAGGACTAGATATACTAGATATAAAAGCATTTTGTAACCGGAACTATCATCCATCTCACTAAATTTAAATCTAAAATTTGAAACTAATTATATATTATTAGCGTTCAGATGGGCAATCACGTGTCCGCCTATTTGCTTTTTTAACTCACATGTAAAAGTTTAAATGATATTCACGTCGCAAAATGCCTTTCTGAATCAAGACTGAAATGCGCGTAGGGTGTCAGTTTAGAAATGTTCCCACATCATTTCCACGTCACTAATTAGTGACATGATTTTCACGTCACAAAATTCAAACCTATTTCAATTTTAGTGACGTGAATTTCACTTCACTGATGTATTTAATAAAATACAAAAATTAATAAATATTAATGAATAAAACTAATTAATAAACAATAAAATGTAGAAATTAAAATAATTTTTTATTAAAAAATTCAATTTTTTTATTAAACATAATTATTAAAAGATATAAAATATTTAGTCACATGATGTTCACGTCACAAACATAAATAATAACAAAAAAAAGTGTCACGTGATATTCACGTCACAAACATAAATAATAATAATAAAAAGTTATTCATCGTCACAACTAAATATAACATCTTCATTTTCTTCATCATCTTGGACAGAACAATTCGATTGTGAGGCAAAAAATTGTCGCATTTGTGCCTCCATCTCGGATTGTCTCTTCTTCATTTCCTCCATTTAAGCATTTTTCCTATTTCTCATTTCCTCTATTTCGGCCTTTAGCGCCGCCTCACGTGCCTCCTTCTCTCGTCTCACCTCAGGTAGAGCTAGATGTCTCACTGTTGCCAACATTTCAGGTGTCAATTTGGAGGACGAGATCCTCCTTCCCCGTCTTTGAGTCTTTGAAATAAAGTTAGATCCCCTTTTTTATAGTCGACAACCAAAGATCCAAGACCAAAAAACACTCATTTCCCCCTTCCTGCCTACTGTTAAATTCCAAATATAAAGTTCCACGCGTGGATCAAGTGATGCATTCTCAATCGGAGTTTACAGAGGATTTTCAACTAGATATTTGGCAAGCAAGGTCTGATACAACTTCTACACACATAAAAAATTAAATTAAATATAGTAAACAATTTTGTTATATACAATAATGAAGTATAAACAAGTTACCAAGGTTGATTTGGAACGACCATCAACAAACTCCCCCGACTTTTTGGTTCGGGTCTTCACAAATAGCTCATTAATCCGTGGCTCCCTCCTCAAATCCTTTTTCTAATTAAAATAATAAAGTTTAATTAAATATGTATATAATAATACAAAATTGAACTTTAAAAAAAATACTTATAATTAGAATTCGTCGACGATGTTCGCGATACTGATACTTCAACTGTACAAAGGCAGCCACCTGCTTCGGATGCCCTCATCTTTTTTGCATGTCCAGATCTTCTTTGAAAATCTTCTATTTAACACCACTCAATAAATTTTGCAAATATTTCCTCGCCTATCCAGTTAGGACGAGTTTGATCCCTTTCCTAACGTTGTCTAGCATTCCCAAGCATGTCGTATAGTCAGCTAGATACCTTACTTACTTCTATTTTGTTTTAAATCTTAACCTCGTCAAAATTTTGCCACGTACACCTTTCCTGCAAGTTGTATGACATTCAAATAAAATGTAAGATATTTATAACAAAAAATAATTATAAAATAACATAACTTTAATAAAAAATGCAATTTACCTTAAATTCATCAAACATATATTTTTCTTAGTATCTGGGAGCTCTCCAAAAGACTTAATGAGTTTTGTATACATCAGTTGAATGACTCGATTTACAACTTTTGCAGCAGGCCGACATAGATCAAAACTAAACAACAACAATAATTTGAATAAGTATTAAATATAAAAATGACAATATATAGTTAAATAAATATTATAAATTAAAAACTTACCTCAATCCATCGGCCTAATAACATGTTGTCCTTCAACCACCAAAATCTCCTCTGCAACAGGATTTGCATGTTCCTCATGAACTTCATCATCCTTCTAAATAAGGTCATCCTACTCCTGACACGTAGGTATATATGTAGGGTGTGGAATGCAGAAACCAGATCTCTCAGGATGGTGCATGAAGAAAGTCTGCTGAGGGAAACTAGATCCCCCAGGCTGCTGTGTGAAGGAATACTGCTGAGAAAAACCATATCCCACAGGCTGCTACACGAAGGAAGCCTACTGAGGAAAACCAGATCTCCCAAGATACCGTGTGAAGGAATACCAATGAGTAAACCTAGATCCCCAGGAGAACTAGATCCCCCAAGCTGCTTCTTGAAAGAAGACGGTACCTGAGGAAAACTAGATCCCCAAGCTGCTGCATGAAGGATCCCCAAGCGGACAAATAAAAGATGGATTCTCAGATGGAACCATATGGGAGGAGGAGATTAATGTCGTAAATGGCTGTGAATTGTCTATAGACGTTAGATATGCCTGAGTCTGTGGGCGAGAAGTATACATGGGTGATCCGCAATCGCGCACGGATCAAAAACGAGTATTTTTTTAATGAAAATATAGTAACGGTAACGACAACTCGAGTATCGTTCTCACAAGGATTATTGTAATGTTATTAACCAACAAAGAAAAGGTTTATGGTGGTTTTAAGATTCGATTAAAAGAAAAATTATGCAAATAAGTGATTATAAAAATAAGCTAAAACGACTAATCCTACTGATTCGGATTTCGGCTTATCATCGGCTATTATAACACCAATCCCTAAGCGGCTTCGATCATATTCAATCATGATATCAATCAGACAAGTGCTTATCAAAATCAAATGAATTATGTTCCTGTTTACCGAATTAAGCAAACGATTAAGAATATGACGAGTTAATCAATTAAGCAAACAATAACATACAATTAAATTTAGGAACATACATACAACTGAATTTAATCAATTCTATCCTATGAACAACAATCGAATTAAGAAAATAATTGCAATCAAATTAAGCAAATGACTTCATAGAAAAGGATTGAAAGGAGTCAAATTTAAATTGGTATTAGAATAACCTCAAAGCGATGGAACCGTACACAGCAGGATTTGCCTGTGGGAATTAGTTCTCCATTACAATTGTAAAATAAAAAGTAAAATTGGGAAAAAAAAGATTATGAAAAATAGCAAGGCTGCTACTAGGTATAGGGAAGCATCACAAAATCCGGTTCTAACCCAACTGGGTCGAAAAACATAAAAAACCCGGCCCAAAACTAAATATTTCTAACGACATATTTTGGGTCTTGAGTTCAACGAATTATTTGAGCCTGCTACCATCTGAATCAGCTTCTTCCTCAAACATAAAAATTATAGCTCTCTGTCTTAGCTTTCCAAAGCCTATTAGAACGTGCAAATCCGATTCTTATAGCTCCAGTTATGATCCAAACAGTAGAGAAATATCAAATAACCGCTAAAGCTGAAAATAAGCTGCGAAAATAGATTAAAGGCAAACAAAGACTTAATTATAAAAATATAATAAAACAGTAAAATACACAAAAAAAACTAAGGAAATGCCTAAGTAAAAACCTAAGAGAATGTGCATTAAGATGCACTAATCAAATTTCCCCACACTTGAACTTTTGCACTCCGAGCAAAATAGTATCAAGACTCGTGAAAAACAATAGCATTCAGATACTCATTCTAGGCTACAAACTCTTCTTCAGCCAAGATTGCATCCTTATGTACTAATTTTCACATTAAAAATATCGTAAGAACACAAATATGCAATTGTGCGGTCATAAACCTCCCTTCTATACAAACCAATCTGAATCATGTTATTATGCCTAAGCCTAACTTACTCATCCTCCTTTTTGCTCTCTTTTATTCTAATGTAATCACATTAAGTCCATTATCTATTCACACACATGATAAATAAGCCTGTCAGTGACTATGATTCATATCTTGTCAATAATTCAAAGTTAACCACTTTAGCAACAACAATATATTTTTTTCTTTTTTTGAAGGTTTCACAACCGTTAGCCTAAGTGACCGGGTAAGGGTCACCTAACTTAAAAGGTGGATTCCTATTTAGATTTCTTATTAAGCACGAGATCATTCACTTATTTGCATCAGCTTAATTACTTAGTGTGTGCTTTTTAGATGGTGCTGACTACTAGATAAACTACTTAAGAACTATTAAAGGATGAGAATTCAAGGCTATGTCATAATAAGTATTTAAATCGATTTCCATATTCATAAGACATAAGGTGTTAAAATGACATCGATCTTATAAAATTTTCCCAAGTCTCCATAATCTAACTTCAAATTAATCTATAGCCTAAAACTTTCAAAAAATGCATTGTGTTTCAAAAGTTTAAAAAAAATTATTATTTTTATTTAAGAACAAAACCAAAAGAAGATAAAGAAAACAAAATAAAGAAATAATTTTCTCCCTCACACTTAAAACATGCATTGTCCTCAATGAAAGGATTTAAATATAAAATAAGTGAGAGAAAGGAAAGAACACATCCGAGAAGTCAAGGCGGATAAGTGATCACATAAGCAGCATTTTCTAAAGAGAGCTCCTCTACAGTCTCTTCTTCCAAAGTGGGAATCTCATACAATAGCTTTGGGTAGCATTCATTTAACTTGAAATTATTATTAGTGCCTTTGCCTTTTATTCCAAGATCAAAAAAGAATCTTCGATAAGTAAAGTTGTCGAATGGGCATGAGAAAGTAATCTTCTTTCCCACAATATTAGAGATTAAAGGATTAAGGGGTTGCCTCATTGATTTTCTTCCATCTTCAATCGATGTCCATCCAATTCCCTTCTTATGTTTCTTCAAAACCTGCAAAAGCTTATTTTCTTGATCGAAATCAAGGTTAGAAAATATTA